CCTGCTTCAGATACGGAAACACCATCCGTAGCAGTTTCACAAAAACAAGCAATCAAACGCAGACTGCGATTCCAAGAATTACATTCACCGGATACCCTGCTAGTGCGGCAAATGGCAAATGCTATATCAGTGAAACTAAGAAGCCATCAAAGTCTGCATTGCCGAGCACATGAGAAACACACAGAGAGGAGAAACCTGCAAATCGGGAATAACAGAGCATGTTTGGACTCATCAACATAACATCAAGTGGTCCCAAGTGGTCCCAGGAACACTGGTTCAAGAGGAAGTTTAAAGAAGCTGCATGTATGTTGTCCAACGACGCATTCAGCCAAACTAGCGTAGAGATACACAACACATGGAAACCGCTAAACCGGTGAAGCGGAGAGCGGGAAGAAAAGCTGGTGAAAGCCAGCAAAATAACCTATGAATGTTCATCTCTCGGAGAAATAGTCCAGTCATCACTCGAAGACTATTGTGGATACCAGCAATTGTAACGTCGTCAAATAACTTGGTTTGAAATCTTTGTTAAATTTTTTAGCTATTCATTTTGATTTTATTTGTTCTTTCAGATATTTCAAATCAGATTAAGATCATATTAGTCAATGGAAGTTCGAACTAGTAATATTCATCATGAAACATTATCAGTCACTTTCAAACAACATGAATGAGTCTGACAGCCGAACCGCTTGGCTACCGACCGAATTAATGAATTGATTATTTGTTCAGTGGTAAGCGTCGACAATTTCTTCGGTTTACAACCATCAGATTTGCGTTTCATAAACGTACGTAATTTTGAATAATCTGTGATTGGCTTAGAGACAGTGGTGAGTTATGAATCTGATCGATTACAACATTTTCATAGGTGTGAGTTTTGAGTCATTTTGGCTCAAAACTCATCCCTCAATAGAAAAAGGTCACATAATTGATGTTTCCTGCAATAGTTCTAGAAAAAAGTATTTCTTCACCTTTTTATTGAGATTTTTGCCTTACTTGCCTTAGAGTTTTTTTTACCATTTGTTGACCAATATTGGTTCTAATAATCAGTGGAGTTGAAGTTCTCTAACGTCGGGTTAGTACAGTAGGTGGAGTTTTTTTTTTATTTATTTAGAAAAAACCGCATCAGCCGTAGCTATCAGCGGCAAACATATAAAATATATCTGAAACATGCAGTTGTTTACATTACAGTTTGAATCTGTTTAAAAATCTGTTTTAAAATCTGTTCTTCCGTTAACCAGCTGTCGTACCCCTACGAACGACAACCCTCAGAAGTCGAAACTTGTGCGAGCTAAGGATTAACGAGGTCTTACCTTTTAACGTGTGATTCCTAACACGGGTTGGATGGTAGCAAGTGAAGATCGATCGTTCAGACCAGGGCTTGAACCACCTACCAACACGGCAGTCAATTCGAGTGAGTAAACAAAGCACCCATGCCGAACCGCTTGGCTACCGACTGACCAAATAAAAGGTTACATTCTTTAAGAAATTCAACAATATTGTTGGTATTGCTATTTTGGAAAATTTCAATTAGTTTGGAGGGAATTTTATTGTTCAGTTTCTCAACTGTGAACAGTGGGCACTCTACCAGAACATGCTTAACAGTCACAATCACTTCACATGCGAAACATTTTGGTGGCGGTTCTTTCCTCAATAGATGTTCATGCGTAAGGCGATTGTGGCCCAGTCGTAATCTGGTAATTATGACTTGATGAAAGCGGTTTGTTGCTTTGTTGTTCCAAGGATATAATGTAGCCTTGATTTCCTTAAGTTTGGAAGGTTTTTGAAACCAGTGGTGATTCCACTTTTCTACAATTTTGCAATGGAAATAGTATTTGAGATCCATCGGCAATGATTTCATACTGAGATTACATGCTGGATATTCTACAGCTTCTCTGGCAAGTTTATCGGCTATATCGTTTCCAGAAATCCCAGTATGTAAAGGAACCCGTAGGAGGGTTACTATCCTCATCATCTCCTCTTTAATCATATTTACCAGTACGTGATGGAACCGTTCAAGTTCCACTGAATAATTTTGTCATATATTTTACTCTCTGGTGATGTAAAATGAAAAAATTAAGTTTATGTAACGTTTCAATAAGTGGAGGAGTCGCTCTCAGTGTCAACAATGCCGGCTGCAATTTGTTTTACTATTTTTGTTTTCAACTTGGTAAAATTGGTTTTTTGCTTTTTATCTATTAATTTAGGATGGAGGGCTTCCAACATAGAAACTAGTACTAAGGGTTCGTTAACATAATCCTTGGCAATGTAGAGGAGATCTTTAGATCCGTGAGAGTTTTCAATAAAATTCTGTAGTTGTTGGTTGTTGAGTGAAAATTTTGAAGGGTTGTTGTCAATGAACTCTTTAATATCGTCAGGTAGGTTATCGTCTTCACTTGTTGTAGAAATAGTAGGGATTTTATGGACAGTGGCGGTTGTAATTAGAAGGTTGTTTTCGGTTATTGGGTGTAATATTTCAGAAATGGGCTGTGGCTCTTGAAGTAGAGTGTTTGGAGTATCTTTAGACTTGGATAATGTGGTCTGCGAGGTGCACTGGGATGCTTGGTGCCCAGCTTGTTTACATCTGAAACACAAATGATTTTCTGCAGGAAGAAATATTCTATATTGCACTTCGTCATATTCTATGTATTCAGGAACCTGTGATTTTTCTGGAGAAGAAATATAAACTTGTCTTCGAAAACTGAGAATATGGCTGTATGCGGGATCGTTTGCACCTATTCTCAGACACGTCATTGGCGACATTATCTTTAGGCCTAAATTCTCAATGACTTTTTTAAGGATCTCATGCGGTATGGTAGGACTCACATTTGACAATAGGAGTCTTTCTGATGGTGTTATCAATCTTCTTGCTGGAATTTTTATACCATCGATTTTTATTTCACCGTGGTTTCTCCAGAACTGATCGACGTGTTTTTTGTCGGACAGGTATACACAGATCCTGTTGTTGGAAATTCGGGAACAGAAAGTTATATGCTTGGGGTTCACTACAGTCGCTAGTTCGAGAAGGTAATACTGTATTCGGAGTCCATCCAGAGATGTGAAGAAGATTGCTTGCTCCTTAGTGGGAAGCTGGTTTGATTTTTGTGATAATGCAGATGAATAAGATTTTGGTTGTTGAGTGATATCTGAGTTTTTAACGGTGGTAGATGCCATACTGTTATTACTCATAATTGATATCCTTGCTCATGCGCTCACTGAGTCCGCCTCTGGCAAACCCAGATGCACACGATAAAAAAAGTGGCGAGCAGTTTCAAAACAAAGGTTATTTTGTTCTATGACTATGATAAACAAATGAAGAAAGGACTCACGGCAGTAGCTTGTGTTCACTTTCACTACAAACATCCGAATTTTTATTTTAGTGCTAAAATTCCAACTTTTATTTGAATAATTTCAGAGCTGTCTAGAGAAAACGTTATTTCTACTTAGTACAGGTCTGGACTCCTCTCTGGAGAAATTGTTTTGTGTGGTAGACTGTGGATTATTTGTTGTCTTTGAAAATGCCTTCGAACAGTGAATTGAAAAACAAAATTATCTATGGACGAAGCAGAAGAACTGTGAACAACATATTGAGATTTATGCAAGCGGTAGCAGTCAGATGGAATTAGATTATCTCTTGCGGAGGTAAGAAGTGACAGTAATAATAAGTAAAATTGTAACCAATATTGTATTTCCACTTGAAAAGTTCAAGAACGAGTAGCTGAGGCTACAGGGGTTTGCGTGCAAACTGTAGGAAAATTCGAGTCAGAGATGAGAGATGGTGAGAAGAAAACATTTTCAACTCCAAGTAAAAAGAGATGAATGAAAAATTTCCAAATTAGGATGAAGGATGCTGATTTGGCAATTTCACACAGATGCATAATTAAATTCTATATCTAAGTAAAATCCTACGCTAAGAGGAATTCATGAAACTATCGTTCGAGATATTGACTATCAGGGCAGTAGGGAATCTTTCTGGATAGAAGTTCATAAACTTGGATATCGATGGAGGAAGGTGAAAAATAATAGGAAAATATAGATGGAAAGCTAGCCTATTTCTACTCAGGATATATATTTTTTTAAATGAAGAGAAGAATGTCAACTTATAACTGATATGGATAAAACATACATTTACGCTGTACACATCCACCAAAAGGGTTGGAGTGATCTGAAAAAACCTGTCACTTAAGGGCAATATCTGACCATAATACAAGGTTGTAAGTTCATACATTTTCTCTCAATTCATTTATTTCTAATGAGAATGGACGTATCTATTATTTGCAATCATATACCTATCACAAGGCCGTGGGTTCGATTCCCGCCTCGACCAGATATTTTTCTCGAGAGAATTTATCTGGTTGAAGCTGGGACGATTCTGCAACCGTGTTAGGAATCACACGTTAAAAGGTAAGGCCTCTTTAGTCCTTAGCTCGCACAAGTTTCTCAACTTCTGAGAGCTGTCGTTCGTATGGGGGCGACAGCTAATTAACGGAAAAACAGATTTCAAACAGATTTTTTAAACTCCTGCACAAAATGAATATTGGGGTTCCCGTTTCCTATTGGTATATGTGTAGTGGTCAACACTTGCCTAATTTGTTCCAGCTCAATTTTTTTCCCTTTTGTACTTCCTGATAAAAGTTGGTAATGGACAGTTACCATCTCTCCTTATCGCGTATCTCAGTGGCACAACTAGATTTGCAAAACTGCACGTTGTTCCACTATGAAGCTCCACCTTGCCATTAAGTCTGCAATTAAAGCAATACTGTTGCAACCTGTATTAATGTCACTCACTTTATTGAAGGAAAAAATCCATATTTGCGAAGAAGGAATTATTTGAAAAATGTCATTGAAATTCATATTTCTTGTGAAACGACGTGATAATTTCAGTTACCTGACCACTGGACCATGTCGATATAATCTGTTTTCGAATGAAGTGCAAACTAAGAAGTAAGACAAATTCAACCTTCCTTCAATATGGCATTGCGCTACGATGTGAATTTTAGACTCAATATTGGAAAAAGTGTTCAATTCATACATTTACTCAAAATATACACAAGTCAATAAATCGTCTCTACTTTCTTCAGCATTCTTCAACACCTCTCACTTCACGAAAGAATCATAATTCATAAGGTCACTTATTCCTACCTATTTACAACAACTAAAATATATTCAAGTAACTACGTTAAAATTTTTGTCCGAAAAACGTTAATGTCTCTCTCGTTGGGAGTTGGTCGAAAATTGCTCTCCATCTGAGTGGTGAAGTTATGACGGTTGGTGATACATTCACTATTCTGGAGTGTTTCGATCTCTTCATTTTTCTTCATCGTTGAAAATGTCTTCAAGAATTTGTTTGGTTATGGTTCGATGAGGTCGTGTTGGATCCAATTTTGGCCTTCCGTAGAGTCGGCTATTGATCACATATAATCTGAAAAAACAGTATGGATTTATACCAAAGGAAAAGTGAACTGCTGAATGAAAAGGAGCTTGAGAGCATTTTATATATTTTATCAACAGAAAACTCAAACTGAGAATATTAAAGTATTGACACCGACCGCTGAATGAGAAATCGTTTACCGTCTCTCTTTACAGCTTTCACTGTTACAGGCAAAAAGATGGAACCACAACCCAAAATCTCTTTTTATGAATGACTTCATCACAAAAAACATATCGGCCTTCCTATAGAAATTGTTGATACAAATCTCTTTTCTGGAAAACTTATTACACCAACGTTCCTGTCAAAGAAGCAGTTCAAATCATACAGAGGAAGCTATCCGAAGACGAGGACCTGGTAGATAGAACAAACTTACCTATAGCAGTAATCATGGACTTACTAGTATGCTGTGTACGGAACTGCTATTTCCAACTGAAGGACGAATTCTTCAAGATGAGGGACTGCCAATGGAATCGCCACGTCTACCAGTTATAGCCAACATATATATATATGGAGTGATTTGAAACTCTGGAAATTGAAGAAGCCCACAAGAAGTCCCGAGTCTAGTTAAGATACGTTGACGTCACATTCATAGTATGGAACCATGGGAATACAGAACTAGAAGAACATCAACAGCATAAAACCTTCCATCACCTTGACAATGAAGAAGGAAGTCCCCAGCGAATTGTGATTCTTAGACGTATTGGTTAAGAGGACTGACACTAAGTGGAAAATATCTGTATACCAAAACCCCACTCACACGAGACTGTATCTGAATCACGAATCCAAGCACCATCACAATCTACCAAAAGAGGAATCATCAAGACTCTAGCGGATCGTGCTTTTGGGTTCTGTAGTATGGAAAAAGATCTTGAACAGGAACCAGCAATCATCAAAAAATATCTTCATCGGAATGGTTACTCCAAAGTAATGTTGGAACATATTTTAGCTGGAAAGCAGCAAGAGTCTCACAAGAAAGAGAAGCTGCCACCATCAGTGCTTGCCCTTCCCTACGTCAGAGGTAGATAATAACATTATCCTGAGATGGATTGAAGGACACGACAGGGATGAAGGTAATCGCATTGTCGACTCTTTAGCCAAGGAAGAGGCTGGACTAAGAATTTTAGGACCCAGTGGCACCCACGGCCTGATGACTTCGACAATTGCGGAACTAGTCAAATGTTACACCCAGGCTCAATCCCTAAAGAGACGGGATGAAATCAAAGGATGCAATCTCGCCAGGATCACCCTGGGCGACCCTGGAAAGCTGGTGCCGAAGAAATATCTGGCGATGACCAGCAAAAATCTGACTGGCCACTGTCAACTAAGGAAACACCTTCATAATATGGGGCTAGTGGACACACCTCTATGCACGATGTGTGAACAGGAAGATGAAACTGTCAGGCATGTTCTATGCGAGTGCCCGGAGTTATCGTCAATAAGAGAGTGTGTGTTCGGCGAGTCTTGGTCTACACCTGCCGATATAATAATAATAATAAATCGTCTTTATTGGTGAAGGTACAAAATAGGCGCAGTTCAGCCAAAGGCTACTCTTACACTTAACCTAAAATGTACAATTCTAATCAACTAAAATGATAAATAGAGAGAAAGACACGATGAAAAAAACGCATCACATAATAATAATTTATATCATAGGTATCCAGATGATATATTGTGACAAGGTAAGTAAAGGTTAAAGGTAAATTCAGGACACGGCACTCAAGTTCCTGTTGGTATTCAGGAAGTGTTTTTCAGAAAGTATTTTTTCAGAATGATTCTTAACTCTCCTTTCGAAAGTTGCATACAATTAGAATTCACAACGGGAAGTATGGTGTTCTCAATTCTAATTGTGAGATGTTGTGCGACTATAGCCCTATTCTTTTTATTACCGAAAAGCATCAAATGACATTTTGGAGACTACCTCGAATTGATATAGCTCCTCTTGGGTCCATTCCACAACTCAATATGAGTAGAGTGTCAAATTGGAACGGTAAGCCGGTAAGCATAATCGAAGCAGTGATTTTGTTCCGATGACCAGATCTGTCGGAGTTTGTTCTGATACTTGCCGCGGAGTTCTTCACTTCTGTTACCTCTTGTGAGGTTATACCTCACATTATTTTGAAGTGAATATTACTGTAGTTTAGTCCTAACACCAAACCGTTATTTTTAACACTTCGACACGTGTTTAATCTTCCCCGTGAAGATGATTACTTGGTGATCGTGTCAAGGTGTTAAAAATAATGGTTTGGTGTAAGTTAAACTGTTTAACAGTTCAATCATCTTCTTGAATATGAATACTTGGTGAATAAAACACGTGTCGAAGTGTTGAAAATAACGGTTTGGTGTTAGGACTACACTCCAGAGATATTCATTACTAAACCAAAAGTTCCAAACAGTGCATCACAAGTACATTATTTTGAAGTGTTGGAATGATAATTATGATAAAGATTGGTATTTGTATTAATTTACTGTGTCAACCACAGTGGGTATTTTAACAAAATAATGATGAACATTTAAATTGATTTGGAAGAAAACTTGTAGTATAGATACATACTTACTTTTCGCTCAACTCACACCTGACGTTGAACCACCAATCACAGACAAATACCAGTTGGCTAAACTGAGTACCATTGGGGCAGAGAAACGTCGTCTGCCTTCCATCGATATCACAATAGTGCCAACTTTGGCACCGGGTTTCCATATCTGCATAGAATCCAGGATAAGGTTGATCATCGCAATAGAAATTGGTGTATGGCACAGTTCCAAGTACTGGATAGTCAGATCCTGGTCTGCCTGGAAATAAATGTATTTAATACCAGTTTCAGTTTGACTGGGGTTTCTAAGTAACAAAAAAGATCCAATTGGGCTCCAAAAATGATCAAAACTTGCTTGGTGAACAACTGTCTAGCCACAACGACCGATAATTTTCATTCGACAGCTTTGAAAGCCACTTTCAAATTCAATTTTTCAGAAATTTTGCACAATTCGTTGGTATTTTGATTGGTATTGTAGAAATGTACATTAAGAGACTTCATCTTTCTGTAAGTCGAGGCACTGTCTGAATTTTCTCTTCCTGACTGCTCGCACGCTTCATTATCAAGCGTTAGGTAACCCAAAAAACAATAAGTTGAAAAACAAAGTCTGGAACTCAGGACACAGTAGAATAATATAACCAGTAGGTTCTCTTACCACGTAGTCCACCTGAGTTGCCGGGGAACTTCACCCGGATGAGATGTTTTGTTATTGATTGATTAGAAAATGGGAGATGTAAAAAAATATTATATGAGCGCACGCCTATGGTAAAAGATTGAAATGGGTTCCGCACTTCGTTTTTGTGAATTTATGAATGAAAGTAGTGAGAGTGGACTTACTGGTTGATTTTTACTGTGCTCAGGAAACAATCTATAAGGATTGCGATAAAAAGTATGTTGGTCAAACTAAGCGAAGTATAATAGCTCACTACAAGGAACATATTCTAGATATTCGTTTCCATGGACCAAAGGAGTCTGCTGTTGCTCAACATGCCATAGAGAATGGTTACAGATTAAGCAACATAGGAAGGTAATTTTGAGCTCTATTGAAATATGAAAGGAATATATAGGGTGTCTCATCAAAAAAATACTTTTCCATCAATAACTATTGATATCTCTCTCATTTAAAAAATAAGTTTTTCACGTTTTTCTACGTAGACGTAGACGATTCGGGATGCAAACTTGTGAGGTTATACCTCACAGGAGGTAACACATTATTTTGAAGTGAATATTACTGTAGTTATTTCTAACACTTAGATACGTGTTTAATCTTCCCCGTAAAGATGATTACTTGGTGATCGTGTCGATGTGTTAAAAATAACGGTTTGGTGTAAGTTAAACTATTTAACAGTTCAATCTTCTTCTTGAATATGAATACTTGGTGAATGAAACACGTGTCGAAGTGTTAAAAATAACGGTTTGGTGTTAGGACTAAACTCCAGAGATATTCATTACTACACCAAAGGTTCCAAACAGTGCATCACAACTACATTATTTTGAAGTGTTGAAATGATAATTATGATAAAGATTGGTGTTTGTATTAATTTACTGTGGTAACCACAGTGGGTATTTTAACAAAATAATGATGAACATTTAAATTGATTTGGAAAAAAACTTGTAGTATAGATATATACTTACTTTTCGCTCAACTCACACCTGACGTTGAACCACCAATCACAGACAAATACCAGTTGGCTAAACTGAGTACCATTGGGGCAGAGAAACATTCATCTTTCTGTAAGTCGAGGCACTGTCTGAATTTTCTCTTCCTGACTGCTCGCACGCTTCATTATCAAGCGTTGGGTAACCCAAAAAACAATAAGTTGAAAAACAAAGTCTGGAACTCAGGACACAGTAGAATAATATAACCAGTAGGTTCTCTTACCACGTAATCCACCTGAGTTGCCGGGGAACTTAGGATTGATTAGAAAATGGGAGATGTAAAAAAATATTATATGAGCGCACGCCTATGGTAAAAGATTGAAATGGGTTCCGCACTTCGTTTTTGAGGTCACCGAGAACTTTGTGAATTTATGAATGAAAGTAGTGAGAGTGGACTTACTGGTTGATTTTTACTGTGCTCAGGAAACAATCTGTAAGGATTGCGATAAAAAGTATGTTGGTCAAACTAAGCGAAGTATAATAGCTAACTACAAGGAACATATTCTAGATATTCGTTTCCATGGACCAAAGGAGTCTGCTGTTGCTCAACATGCCATAGAGAATGGTTACAGATTAAGCAACAATTACTTGAAATTGTTGGGACCGGTACATAGCAACAAGTTTTTGGATGATTTTGAAAGTTTACAAATCGAAAAAATGAAGTTCAGGTATCAGACACGTAGTAAATAATAGGGCAATAAAAACTACAAGTAATCAATTAATTGAGCATTATGCTTATAAAAACATCAACATAGTTCCAAAAAAAAACAATTTTGTTCTGTTGGGAGAAAAGTTTTTCCAAAAGATTCATTTCACACCAGATGTTCCAAATTCCGGATATCAAAAAAGGGTCAGCATCTCAAGTGGTTTCGGGTTTCATCATTCTGAATATTTTACGATGATAATGAATGTTGAAAAATTTACCAAAAATCAATTGAAATATTTTCACGTCGGGTATTTCCACACCTGTGGTTGTTTAGGTTTTTGATTTTCTCAAATATTTAGATTGATTATATTAGACAAAAACATTGAGTTATACGTTCCAAACATTACATATAATTGTAAAAAGTACGTATTTATATCGGCATTGAATTTATCCGATTGGTTTTTAAATGTCACGATGAGAAACTGCTGTGATTTGAGTAATAAATCAACAGAAAGTTGTATCACAAGAACCCAATATAACCGGTCTATTATTGATCTAACTGGATATTCTTCAAGCTATAAAAATATAAAAATCAAGAATATACCATACCCAGTTTCAATCTCCATCAGAAAAATCTAAAGCAATTTTTAAACTGTATTTCTCAATTATACCAATGATGGACAATCATAAAGTCACAATGATCATTGAATTGCAGTTTATATCCGATGTTGAAAATCCTTGCTCTAGTTTGAAACAGCCGCAAGGCCTGCAAATGATATTACTCCATACATATTAAGCATGAAATGCTTTGAGAAAATAAGTATTTTGAATTGAAATTTCGAAACATCTCGAGCTATCCCGGACGAATATCTGTCGGATATTGGTCAATGTCCAGCGTGGCATTAGCCGGAGAAGCAGTTGTTTTCCGGTAGGCATTCACCCGTTAAGGTACTTTGGGAGAGATAAATGTACCAAGATTTTATTTGGAAATACTTATTTTCTTATGTGTGTAATAAGTACGTTGATATATTCAAGTGACGTATTTTTGAGACAATTTTGAGAAAAAAGTCTTTTTAACCGTTTGTTCGAAAATGCTTCGTTTCGAAGATGCGAGGTGTCGAAGTTGAATTTTCTGTTCGTTTTTTTTAAATACCTTTTGAAAAAAATAAGTTATTTTCTCGAAATTTGTTTTGTTGTTTTATAATTTTATGATTTGTATTTTGGAACTATTAAGAAACAGAGTCACATTTAAAGTTATCGAAAAATCATACGAATCATTGAAATTTTTTAAAGCGTACTTGGTTTTTGTCATAAGTGTTTTGCAATTTTAGTTATTTGTATCTCGAAAACGAATGATTTTTCGATAAACATTTTATAACAGAAAGTTGTTCATTTTGATGAGATCCACCACATTTTGTGATATTTCAGGCTAGATTCAACTAAGTACCTGAAAAGACTGGAAATCATCCTAAATTCTTTTACTAATGAAAGTAGGCAAAAAGAAGTGAAAACTGATAAAATAAATGATTATTTTTTGTAATGACTGAATGTGATTATCTGGTAATGAAAGAATTGGCAAAACATCTCACTTTGATGGTTCATTAGATATTGTGAATTCTTGAATTAATTAATTTACAGGAGGTTAAGTTTTGAACATCTCTTTTGAAAATGAAGAGTATTGAATTCATGATTAATCTCATGTTGCTCTGTAATGAGGTGAGTAGCATTCGATGAATTTTTTTCATTATTGAAACTATTTCTATGTTCTTTCACGCGTGCTTAAGATGTTCTTCCAGTTTGACCCATGTGAAACTTCGAACACGAACCACACGATAGTTTATAATCTGCAGATCTGTCTATTATCAAACTCTTATCTTTGTTATCTTCAATATGCATTCTTGGTTTTATACGCTATATTCACAGCTTCATTTTTCAATAAATTAGAAATCTTTATTTTTCTCTGTGACCTGAAAAACAATTGTGATCACATAAAAATATATCATACTTTTGACTTGATTAATTTTTGAAGTCGATGTTCTCTTTTGAATAACCTTTCATTTCCAATAGCGATCAATTGAAAAGAAATGAATGTTGCCTTTGCTTTTGCCAGGCCTTTGGCCTACAATTGAATTTCCATAATGAAATATCAGATTCATTCATAATGTACCTATTTTTTCAATAAAATATCATTTCCTGTCAAGTTTCATCCAATTTCTCCTCTCTATCATCAAGTATTGTAAGGTAAATTTGAATCATTTCCCACTATTCGATTGACCTAGTTTTTTGAAGCTTCTACAAGTTTATACTACGCAGTAACTTTTCGGGGGGAACTTTTCAATTTGCTGCAACAGATTCTCTATTGATTCAACTTTGTTCAAAACCTACAACGTCGGTTAAATTGGATAAGTTTCCTATTTTGGAAATCTAGATTATTTTATTTTCAGATCAAGAATATTTGTGGTTGTTTTCGAAATATTCGCCAAAAACAAAGTTTGTCAAATTTCGCTTTTTGGGTCTACTGCCTCCATTTCAAATGATATAAAAAAGAAAAAGGAACTTTTAGTACTGTTTCATATTTGTTATAATTATCTGATATAAACCGATATTCAATGCGACGTTTTGTTCAAAAAATTTCATCATCAACTTCATTTTTTTAATGTGTAGGCACCTCTAGTCATTGAAGAAAAATATTTTCGTCTTTCAAAATTCTGAATATCATCTTACCTGGTATTGACTTTCCCAACTCCAGATATTCGACCACTGAAGGGCTTAAAAATCCAGGGGGAACATTACTTGAATCCAAGTCATTGTTTCTTTCATCAAAATCAGATTCGACGTCATTTTCTGGTTCTGGGGGAGGCGCCCTTGGTCTTTTTACCCTTGATTTCTGTTCAAATCCATCTGAAAAATTGAAACAAAATAGAAATGGGTTTTCTAAGAATGGAAAGATTCATAATTTCTTTCGATATCAAGAAAGAATCAGTAATACAAGAAGCCACGATACGACAATTTAGAACGAATGTACACGCTTATACAAAATGAAAATAAAATCAGAAGAGTGTCGTATACCCTCGTATTCGCTCGACTGGGTTGGCTCATGAGATACACTGTATTTCAACGATGTACGCACAGTTCGCGTAATTTGCCTCACGTTGATTGTATACTCGTCTCAAAGATTCTGCGCAAACGTGTCCACAATCAACGTGATAAAAATTATGCAGACGTTGTTGTATTTACGCCCGTCTCATAGACTTGGCACAAAGAGTCGCACAATCAACGCGCTGCAAATCATTCGGACGTTGTTGAAATACATTGTCTCTCATAAGCCAATTCAGAAGGGCGTCGTATACGCTCGTATTCGCTTGACTGTGTTGGCTCATGAGAGACAATGTATTTCAACAACGTACGCGTAGTTCACATAATTTTCCTCACGTTGATTGTATACTCGTCTCATAGACCCGGTACAAACGTGTTCACAATCAACGCGCTGCAAATTATGCGGGCGTTGTTGTACGCCCGTCTCATAAGCCAGGCACAGACAGTTGCACAATCAACGCGCTTCAAATAATTCGGACGTTGTTGAAATATAAATAGTGTCTCTCATGAGCCAATTCAGAATAGCGTCATATATGCTCGTATTCGCTCGTCTGTGTTGGATCATGAGAGACACTGTATTTCAACGATGTACGCCTAGTTCGCATAATATGCCTCACGTTGATTGTATACTCGTCTCAAAGATTCTGCGCAAACGTGTTCACAATCAACGTGATAAAAATTATGCAGACGTTGTTGTATTTACGTCCGTCTCTTAGGCTTGGCACAAAAAGTCGCACAATCAACGCGCTGCAAATCATTCGTACATTGTTGAAATACATTGTCTCTCATAAGCCAATTCAGAAGAGTGTCGTATACGCTCGTATTCGCTCGACTGTGTTGGCTCATGAGAGACAATGTACTTCAACAACGTACGCCTAGTTCGCATAATTTGCCTCACGTTGATTTCACACCCGTCTCATAGACCCGGTACAAACGTGTTTACAATCAACGCGCTGATAATTATGCGGGCGTTGTTGTATTGTATTGATTGTACGACCGTCTCATAAGCCAGGCACAGACAGTTGCACAATCAACGCGCTTCAAATAATTCGGACGTTGTTGGAATATAAATATTGTTTCTCATGAGCCAATTCAGAAGAGCGTCATATCTGCTCGTATTCGCTCGACTGTGTTGGCTCATGAGAGACATTGTATTTCAACGATGTACGCCTAGTTCGCGTAATTTGCCTCACGTTGATTGTATACTCGTCTCAAAGATTCTACGCAAACGTGTTCACAATCAACGTGATAAAAATAATGCGGACGTTGTTGTATTTACGCCCATCTCATAGGCTTGGCACAAAAAATCGCACAATCAACGCGCTGCAAATCATTTGGACGTTGTTGAAATACATTGTCTCTCACAAGCCAATTCAGAAGATTGTCGTATACGCTCGTATTCGCTCGACTGTGTTGGCTCATGAGAGACAATGTACTTCAACAACGTACACCTAGTTCGCATAATTTGCCTCACGTTGATTGTAACTCGTCTCATAGACCCGCTACAAACGTGTTTACAATCAACGCGCTGAAAATTATGCGGGCGTAATTTCAACAACGTACGCCTAGTTCGCATAATAAGCCTCACGTTGATTGTATACTCGTCTCAAAGATTCTGCGCAAACTTGTTTACAATCAACTTGATAAAAATTATGCAGACGTTGTTGTATTTACGTCCGTGTCTTAGGCTTGGCACAAAAAGTCGCACAATCAACGCGCTGCAAATCATTCGGACGTTGTTGAAATACATTGTCTCTCATAAGCCAATTCAGAAGACTGTCGTATACGCTCGTATTCGCTCGACTGTGTTGGCTCATAAGAGACACTGTATTTCAACGATGTACGCCTAGTTCGCATAATTTGCCTTACGTTGATTGTATACTCGTCTCAAAGATTCTGCGCAAACGTGTCCACAATCAACGTGATAAAAATTATACAGACGTTGTTGTATTTACGCCCGTCTCATAGGCTTAGCACAAAGAGTCGCACAATCAACGCGCTGCAAATCATTCGGACGTTGTTGAAATACATTGTCTCTCATGAGCCAATTCAGAAGGGCGTCATATACGCTCGTATTCGCTCGACTGTGTTGGCTCATGAGAGACAATGTATTTCAACAACGTACGCCTAGTTCGCATAATTTTCCCCACGTTGATTGTATACTCGTCTCATAGACCCGCTACAAACGTGTTCACAATCAACGCGCTGAAAATTATGCGGGCGTTGTTGTATTGTATTGATTGTACGCCCGTCTCATAAGCCAGGCACAGACAGTCGCACAATCAACTCGCTTCAAATCGAGGTTAAGTGGAAGAACAGGTTATTTTTATTGCGATGAAAATAAACTGAACTTCGCCTTTTATTTTCCTGTAATAAAAAATTTCATTGTATAAAAACTGTTAACTACCTACTATTGGAAATAATAAAGACGAATTATTATTATTATTCGAGTGCCGCATACGCTTGTATTCGCTCGCCTGACAGGCGTACTATACGCGCGCTTCCGGTTATCTACGTTAGCTCGCGGGAAACAATGTATTCAGCAACGCCATCTCGATGCATAACTTGCAGCGCGTTGAATTGTATATCCGTGTGCATTAGTTGTTAGTCAACCAAACAATAGGAAATTTCACATTCATCAACGATAATGATGTACGGAGAAAGCAACTTCAGATAAGAGCTCTCCCAAACAAATTGTGAACACAATTGGAATGAAAGTTCGAATTTGCATGATCATAAAATAATGGAGGTCGACAATTATTTACGTTGTTTTCACATGAAAGTAAACAGCAATGGTTTGCTAAGCAAAAAATAATAGATGAACTTCAACTACGATGACACGTTTTTTATGACTGGAAATAATGTGAGATACGCTGTGAATTTCATATTGTTGAATGATCAAACTAGATTATTTTCTTCAATAACAGTTCACGTACACAAACAAATATGTGAAGACATTACTCTCTTTTCGAAAGAATTTCAAGCATTTTATTTCAAATTTACAGATATTGTATTATTTCTCCAACTCCCATGTGATGTGGTTATATACAGCCTGTCAAATGTAGGAAGAGCTTTCTGAATTCCGTTTTGGTCCCGGCCACTAGATGTACGTTCGTTAGAAGACTATGAGAGCGAGAGAAAGAGAGAAAGAGAGAGAGAGAGAAAGAGAGAGAAAGAGAAAAATAGAGAGAGAGGTTTGACAAGCTGTACTTTCATAGTGAAAATTTAGGGACCGTTCCTTTACATGAGACAACAAAAATCTAGGAACGGGTCATTCATTGGACTGCCTTAACATGTACCGATTAATCTGCCCACAAAGCTAGAAGCAATCTCAATTTTTCTCTACGTGTAATGAGCAACGGAGGTTGTAAATGTTGAATATAGTCAGAATTACGATTTTCTCAAGTGATTTCTACATGATTTCAACATGTTTCTCAAAATAATCTGCTGCTAAACTGAAACACTATTAGTCTAATTTTCCCAGCGGAGGCATAAGAAAAATATATGAATACATGCATATTAAAGTCACAGCAACGCATCAATGCTTAAAGTGTCTCTAAGTTGTAAAATACCATATTTTTTTCTGGAAAGAGACAAACCCAAAAATTTTGTTGCATCTGTCTGTAGCAGAATCTTATTTTGTCTTAAGTTACTAGTTAGACCTATTAGTCTAAAATGTATGAATTCTGTTCTGTATCTGTAGAGTAGAGGGGGGGTGGAGTGTAGGTCTACTTTGTAGGTGAGAGTTCCATGTTAGCTTCCTGTCGAGGATAGTACCAAGGTATTTCACCTCTTCAGAGAAGTTTAGTTTGCTTCTGAAGATTTCGGGAGGTTTTAAGCCGGATAAACTCATTTTCCTAGTGAAAAGGACCATCTCAGTCGTCTTGGGGTTGATCGACAGTGAGTGTTCCTTACACCATGTTTCTATTAATTCGAGCTCATGCTGCGCTCTATCGCATAGTGTGTTCACAAATTTGTCAGTCTGTAAGATAACTATGTCATCTGCATATGCAATTGTGTAGAATCCATTATTATTGAGGTAATTTATTAGGGTATCTAGAAGTATGTTCCAAAGAAGGGGTGATAAGACCCGTCCCTGTGGACATCCCCTCATGACCAGTCCTCTCACTATGATGTCTTCTACATTGATACTTATTGGTCTACTAGAGAGCATCTTGACTATTCATTCTTCTGCTACCAGAGGTACATTCCTGGAGTGTAGTTGCTGGGAAATTGTTGGAAAGGTTGTTTTATCACGCTCCCTTGGTATATATCAATGTACCCAAGGTGAATTATTTCTTGTCCAATGATCTTTCGATGCTGCCAACCACGCGGTGAAGGGCCGAATCAGTAGACCTTCACGGAGTATATGCATGCTGATTTGGATGAAGTGGGTTGTGAACTAGTACTTCATCTCCTATGTACCGCTCACATAGCCTCTCTATAATTTTTAAAAAGAACGATGTTAGACTAATTGGTAGGAAGGCTTTTGGTAAGGTGTAGTTCATCCTATCTGGTTTGGGTATAAATACTACTCGTTCATTTCTTACTGGGAATATACCTCAGAGCTAGAGAGGCTCCTGAATATTCCAATCAGGTGCGGCATAAGAATATCCAATCACCATAAATTTTCTTTTGGCGTTATTTGAAATTATCCCATTTTTTTGCTGAAATTCATCATTTGCTCAATATTAGATTGTTCATTTGATAAAATCTTGTATAGATTTTCACCTGAGACGATAACACTAACATCATCGGCGAAGAGGGTTAGTTTTTTGTCATTGCTCCCATGATTGTGTTTATGA